TAATATAATTAAATTATATTTAATTTTATTCGAATTACATTCGAAGCCTTATTTTTTACTGCATAGTTCTATAAAGCCTAAAATGATTTATTTATATTAAACCTAACTTACACGTAAAGCCATACAATTTAATTTGCGGTAAGTTAAATATATAATTATATTGAATAACGTTTAAAAAAAGATGAATTATTGCATATATAATATAATAATTAAAAATATATAATATTATAAAATATTATTGTTTTAATTTAATAATTTTAAAAATTAAATTAACATTATTTAAATATTTATTTAAAAATATTTTATAATCTTTTATTACTTATTTTTTTATTTTAGTTTTTTTTTATCTAATAATGTATTTTATATATATATATATATATATATATATATATATATATATATATATATATATATATATATATATATATATATAATTAAATATATTTAGTTCATATTTAAATGTTGAGAATTTGGTTTTGCTCAAAATAATAAAGTGCTTGACATATAAGAGCTACAGACACCTACAGGTTCATTCTACTCTAGAGTAGTATTTGCTGTTTCATATTCTATTTGATTAGCCATAAGAAGCTTTTCTTAGAACCATACTTAATACCCAAATTGTGTGCACTAGTCAGCCAGCCAGCCAACCAGCCAGCCAGCTTTGACTTTGACTGTGGACTGCATCAAAAATGCCAGCATAATTCCCATAATACTTATATGAACTACACACTAAATCTGTGCTACGAAATCAAAAGCATTTATTACTGGGTCAGAGTAGTCCTCGACGCTCTTTGATCACAAAAGCTGGGCCAGAAGCAGACGAAGAAACTGCTCCAAATAAGCCAGCTTATACAAAAAGCTAAAGTAATCACGACTTGCATCTAAAGAGACCAAAAATTCACAATTGCTTTGCCAAAGGACCTTTGCCATAGAACTGGGCAGGGGAGCTGGCGCTGCGAATGCCAATGCAAGTGCACCCGCATATATATATATATATATATTTTCTTTTCATTTTTTTTTTTTTTTTTACTTTTTCATTTTGGCTTGAGTTCTGTGTAAACGCTGCTAAAAGTCACATTGCATTCGAATGCAAAAAGCACAGAGAGTACACGAAACCCAAAAGCCTTATTGTTTTCTGGTTTTTATCTACTCCCAAGCTCCGTTATTTCACTTTTCAGTCAGCCAAGCGAGTCTGAGACACGGAGACAGAGACTGAGACGGAGACAGAAGCAGAGGCAGAGACAGAGACTGAGCTGTAGACTGAGGCTAGGGCAAGGCGATTATTGTTGCAAAGTTGGTTGACAATTTGCGTCAAGCTGCAGGCAAAACTTGCCAGCATAACAACTGACGATGATGCAAGGGCCACGGAGACACAAAATAAGCCAGGCCAAAGTAGACGAAATGATGCTGCAGCAGGCCAAAGCAGACAGCCATCAGGCTTGAGGCTGGGGTAATAAGGCATCAGGCAGCAAAAAAGAGCGCACTGAATATAAACAGTGAGTCGTAGAGTCGGATACTCACTCAGTCACATTGTTCGGCCAGCTGCTTACGAGTCGAAAGCTGTCGAGTTTGTTAACTGTCTGAACCGGTGCGTGCATTGTGTCCGCCTGCCGGCAGCTCAAACTCGTTGTCCAACTCTCTCCGAAAGTCTGTGCATTTTTAATACCCTACAAGCATGGCTAATGGAGCCTATTAGAGAGAGAGGCAGACAAAACTAACTATTTGATACACTGAATATACGTATATATATAAAGAGGCTTATCTTGGCTGGCTGTCAGTACAATATGTCCAATGTCTAGCAGAGCCCTAATCGATTTATCATACATATTTTAAAGATTTTCGCACAAAAATAATTTAGTTTATTCTACCTTGGTATGAGTCCACTTTGGAATTATACAGTAAAGCAAAAATTTAAACAGGCCTGAGTGATCATGGAAAATTTTAAATCTTTTTAGTCAATGTTTTTTGCAAATGAATTAAATTTTATATATTCCTATCAAATATCAATCAAAAAAAAAGTTCTCTATTATCTGTTAATTTCTCAAGCATTATCAGTTAATTTCTACATACACCAGGGTATATTTTAGTTCTATATAACTTCTATTCTTCTATTTTGTTCTTCTTAATGTTTTAAATATCAAAATAAAATCTAAAAACAACACGAATTTTCAGGAACAATTAGATATTCAATATATCTAATATATACATCTACAGGGTATCTTTCTCTTATCACTGTCGCCAAAGTCAATCAAGCTTTGTAGTTTTTATTATTTTACACTTATTAATGCCTTATTTAAGTTGAATAATTTGACTAGCTTTGTTGCGGCTTTAGAATTTAATGCGCTTCGCCTGCGGCGGGTCAATGGCAGCGATGAACGAGAACTGGGCGCGTGGAAATGTGGGGTGGGCCGTTGTGGGAAGATGGGTGACTGCATGTAGCATGGTCCAAAAGACGGACTAGACGGAAATTGTATATCCGTTAGAAAATTATCAATTTATGGTAAAATGAGCACTGATTGCAAAATGCTACGATATGGCCGGAGCATTGCGCTAGGAATTGAAAAGTGCCAGCATGCTTTGTGGCATTGCTAAATTGAAAATGAATCGAAATGAAAACCAAGCCAAAACCGTATCGTGCCGATGCGAAGCACTGGGAACAGTGCAGGCATGTGGCAGCGACAGTGGCTGTGGCAGTCAAGGCGACAGTCAACAAGCAGCTGGCAAACGGGGCCCATAATGAGCAAGTCAATATCATGGACAGCAGGGCACACACACACACACACACACACACACACACACACACACACACACACATCCAAACACCCATTCACCCGCACATAACAGAAGAACAGCAGCAGCAAGGAACAGCAGCGCCAACAGCAGGCAATCGATTGAGGTCCTTGCGTACGGCGTTGCTGCTGCGACTTGCGTCATGCAGCGTATGGCGAAGAAAAAGCAGATTGCAATTTGTTTTACTGATTTCCATGCTTTTGGCTTTATTTGCACAACGGAAACTTTCATTAACATCAAACAGCTACAGCTCAAGGCGCTCTCCAAAAGGAATATTCAAGTACGCTACGCCCCCAACCAGCTCCGAGCCCACTCTCCCTCCCCCACACCCTCTCACGCATTGTTGCCATTGTTACATACAGAGCGAGAGACTGTCTTTAATGAACACACATTCGCAATTCGCCATTCGCCATCGATACGCCACGCTGAATGTCATGATTAACTTGCATCGTGCATTGTTCATTAATGCAATTAGTTATAATTAATAAAAGCACGAACATGATGTAAATTGCGGCCCAATCAAGCTGCATTGAATAGTACTACTCGTTAGCTACAGCCAGAGCCAGCCACTTTAAGAGCCCTACAGAGTCCAGCTCAAATAAATGCAGTTGGCTTTCAAGCGCTAGCAATTGTGGCTAATTTAAGGAGTCTTCAAATTATATTGTTATAAATATTTATACAAAATTGTCTAACCCTGGCAGTAAACGGGATTTAAGCTTGTAAGGAACTACTAAAAGAGAAGCTGCTGAAAATTCATTTAATTTATAATCAGCTCTATTCTTTTGTATCAGAAAATACAAATAGAAGAGAAATAGAATGGATTTTAATTATATTTTTATATATTATATATATTTATATATTTTTTAAGCCTAATTAAAGCTATTTTATATACTAATCAATATCTATTTTTTTTTTTCTCTATACACTTTGAATATTGGCTAATCAAACTTTTGTGTTTTTAAGAAATATATTTAGAAGCTCTTTATTATACTTGAATACAGACTCTAAAAATTTTTGGGAAATTTATGAAATACATAATCAGCTATCATCCCTCATCCCTTATCATCCGCAAAAAAAAATATATATATATATAAAAATATATTAAAAATATAAAAGAAAAAATAATAATATTTTAAAGCTTAAAAGCTCATTGAAAAAAATTATTCTACATCTTTTGGTTTGTACAGACTAAATTTAAGCCATATCAAAAGAATTGTAAAATTATGATATTATGACATTTATACTTAGGCTTAAAGTACCTAACCTGTACTTTAAAAGCCTCAAGTTACACATTTCTAGTACAAATTGAGCTATTTGATATACAATAATGCAATAATCATTAAATAAAACGATTAGCCATTAAATAAATAAAGTGAGTTGTATTCAATGTGCAGCCATTAAGCTCTATACTCAACAGTAACACAGTTATAATATGAACCTAACTTATATTTTTACTTGACTTTAATCACTTTCCACTAATTCACTTCCCTTTTTCTCATACAATTTTTTTTTTTAATAAACTCAGACGAAGCTGCAGTCGGTTAAAGTGAAAGCCGCAAACACATCTAATTGGCCACAAGTTGATGTGCAAACATTTGCCACCTCACCAAACAGTTGGACTGACGGACGGCTGAAAATCTGAAGAATTTGTTAAAATATGCAAAGCGAGTGCAACCAATTACGATGGCAAATAATGGCACAAAATGTGCTCTAAGCATCTCACATTTACATTCAGTTCGAAGCAGAACAAAAGTCCAGGCACAAACACTTAAATTTATGAGGCTGCTCGCTTTGGCTGTTGACCCCTGACCCCTTGATTACGCTGCCCAACTGCCCAGAGATGTTGTTATTGTTGTTGTTGCTGTTGTGTAACTTTGTTTGTAAGTAATTTTAACAAATTTGTGAGACATTTGTGGCCTTTTGTGCAAATATTTAACCTATTTTTCGGGCTCTCCTGTGTTCAGGCCATCCCACATAATGTTATTTCGCTTTTGTTGTATTCTATTGTATTGTGTATGTGTGTGTGTGTGTGTGTGTGTTTGTCTCGACTTTTTGCGGCCAAAAAGGCCAATTAACTTAAATAATTAGCCAAAGTTTCCACAGTTGCGATAAAGTTGTTGCTGGCCAAATTGGCGCTGGTTCCGGTTCGCCTGCCATTTCACCACAAATGGCCAGAAATTTCAATAAAATTTCATTGTTCTACCGAGTGGCTGTAGTAGGCCGTTTCTATCTTCAACAGATTGTTTTAAATTTATATAATTATATAAATTTACATATAACAATTTACAAATTTATTCAGATTTGAGCATGGGCAACGCATTGAAGCGCAGTGCACGAAGACATAAAATCAAGGAGAAAAAATTAAAAAATCCGATATTTTTGTATCGTGTACTATATTGGAGTTTAATCTTTCTGCTAATGGGCGGACTACTCGCCGGCGTATATTATATGCTGCAAGCTGATTTCGGACACTGCAATTCCTACGACAGCAAGTGCTTCTAGATAGACGCAATTCATTCGATAGCAAGCTGAAATTTGTTCAATTAAGTGGATATGTCTGCATCCGCCTCATCAAATATGGTGGATAATAGGATTGCTGGTGTGACCGTGATGAGTCGCTCGGAAGCGAAGAAATGTATTACCCTAACCGTTATTATGCTTGCAATTATTTTAATATTTTTTGGCGTCTTTGTGGAGCTTGATAAGGAACCACCACCCTGTACGAATTACAGAGTTCTATGCTTTAGAGATTCGAGTATCCGAAGCGATGATTAATAGTTTTTCAATAGTTTTCTTGTGGTAAGCTAATTGGCATTACGTATTAACGTTGCTATTATAAGAATATATTTTACAGTGTTTATTTGTTATATCTCAAGAAGAAGGCTCATCTAAAATCATTTCTATAAATCAAATTATAAATGTTTTTAAATACATATATAATAATTGTTCACGATTTAGGCAGCTGATTATATAAGTAAGGTGGATTTATAATATATATTACGTATACGCCTCGTTTGAATATTTACCAGATTTCTAACACATTTTTAGTATTTAAATCGCCTTTTGGGGTAAGTGTCTGGATATTACGTATACGCACTATTATTATAATAATATATTTGCAACAATCTATTTTCTCTTTATAATTCCAGAAGGTCTTTTTCTGTTACGCAAATTAAGTATGAATTTTAATTACGTTTAAAAAGAAGAAAACAAATATACAATTTAATATATAAAAAAATTGATCAGATCAGTTCAGACTAAGGTAAGTTTATTCATGTCTTACGTATACAAATATTTTTGTTTTTATTATACTTTCAAATTTCCATACACATTTTCAGTTTATTTTAATTCTATAAATTAATAGACATTATGTTTACGCACCGTTGCTTTCTTAAATTTCAGAATTTGTTTGACTAATGAATTGGCTTTCCATTGCAATTTCTTTTTATATTTGTGGAAAACTTTGTGCTGCCATGGGAGACTTTTACGCCATTTGTAGACAATGTGCGCAATGTTTACATATAATTAAGACATTTTGCTGACTGCTGCCAAAAAGTTGAGACGACAGAAGAATCTGCTTTGCCAGTTGCCAGTTGCCAGTTGCCAGTTGCCGCTGTCTGGCTGATTTAATATGCATTCGCTACCATTAACAGCAAATATTCACTTCTACATAAATGCCGTCGAACGGCTGTTGAGGTTCCAAAAATAAAATACGTAAATTGTCCTTTTAGCATCAACCTGAACATCTGATATCATGTTGTATGTATGATACTTTTCGATTGGTTTAGCTTAACTGTGAAACGCAAAAATTCATGAAAAATAAAAAATAAATGAAAATGAAAAACACGGAACTGTTGACCTACTCCCCGCATATTGAATGATGAAAAAAAAAAACGAGCTTTTGAAATTTATTGAAGCGCTGCCTTTTATGCAGCTCACTCGTTGAATTTGCAATGCGCATTCATGAATGGCTGAAGAGCGCAGTTAACAGCTGAATGAGTGTGAAGAAAGTCCACTGAAGCTATGCATATACATATAACTGACACACACATATAGACGTTATATATATATGTATGTGTTTATAGGCAGATTTTAACTGGGGATTATGGCTGCAACAAATGGCGGATTCTCTATATTAATTAAGGTTTTTACTTGGATTTTATGAGGGTTTTATTGCTTATATATCCTAGAGACACTAAGTATATGCAACGGGTATATCGAGTGTGTATTCAACATATTCAACATCCATATACTCATATACTCAGATTGAAGGCAACTGGAATTGAGATAGCTATATTTGAGGTATCTCCTAGTCGGATACTTTTTGCCTAGATCAATTTGCTTATTTTGTGTGTATATATATAAAGTTTTTATGTCCTGCCCAACAATAACGCTATCGCAGTCAACACGTTAGTCACTTGTGGCCTAAAGTTTATCCAGACACACCCACACTTCTGGCACACCACACAGTCGCATACACACCCACACACACACACACATACATATATCCACGAATAAAGTTGTAAATGCAAACAACAAACTGCATACTAATGATGTCTCTGTTGTGGTCTGCACTATTGCGCTGTTAGCCCGCATAATTGGACCCTAGTATAGATATACATATATGTGTGTGTGTGTGTGTGTGTTTGAGTATGGGTTCCTTGTTGTTTATCTTTCTTTGGGTTATGATTTAAAACACAACAGTGCACAATTCGCATACCTCTTTGGCTCGACTAATATACAAAGAGATTTTGTTGCAAAACTTTAATTGAAGCCAAAATGACATTGGCTGAAAGCAAAAAATGAGAAAAATTTAAAAATTTTAAATAAAGAATGTACGTAAAAATATGTCTTTATTATCATAAAATATAATATTAAAGAAACTTAAAAATTTACTACTATTAAAGTTGACCATAAATAAGCTAAGAAATTTAATTTTTGTTTGAATTAATCCAGTAAATATTTTGATATTTTTGCAAAACTTTAATTGAAGGCAAAATGACATTGGCTGATAGCAAAAATAATCAAACGTTTTTTTTAGCATAACGTGTATGTAAAAATTAAATAAAATAATATTAACAAACTTAACAATTTTGACATAGTTAAACAAAACCTTTTAGTATCTCCAATTTTTAAGGCTACGCTTCAAACTGAATGCTCTTATAGTTTTCCCATATTTTTCCATTTATCTCTTCACACGTTTGTTTCTTTTCCCTCTGCACATTTGTTTCCAACTCTATCTAAACTTTTATGATTGCTCTTATTCATAAGCCAATGTCATCTACGTACAATGTCAAGGTCAGAGTTCAGTTGTCGAGTGCTCGAAAGTTGATACGAGCGACAAGTCGTGAACTGATGAAAATATATATGTGTGAGTGTGTGCCTTTACAGCAAACTCTCATTGTTATTTCTTGACTGTTGCTGACACTTTGCTGCACAGCAGGTGAAAAATAAATAAACTTTTAAATTTCTAACGTAGATTTATTGCCAGCGCTTGGCTAAAGTTTGACATGAGTTGGCCTTGCGGTTGCTTTGACTCAAACAAACACACGCTCACACATGCACACACACATACTCTCACACACACTCACATCCGAAACTCAAGACTAATTACAGAGCAGTATGTATTTCATTATAATTATTATTATGTTTCGCAAAAGTTCATTGGAGCTACAACAGGTATTCTGCGGTTTAAAAACTGTAATTGGATTCCTAATTAATTTTAATGTACCATAAATGTGTGTGCGTGCGTGTGTGTGTGTGCGTATATTTTTTGTGAAGCTATTTATTAGCTAAAATTTAAACATTAGCTTGGATAAGGCGAATTTCCTTTAACTTGTGGTTCGAGCTTCACCACATAGTGCTCTATTACTTAAAGGAATTCATAGTCTAAGTTGTTACAGTGAGAGTCAATCACAAGAAGGCGTGAAGCAGAACTTTCAGTATGGGAAACAAAGGACCTGTGGTAGCTGATTTTGAAAATATAATACAGGAAGACGAAAAATTTCCGAAATATTCCCCACTCTAAAACCGTATATATATATAAAGCACCATGGGTTGACTTTTTATATGACAGAAATACGTTGTGGTCATGTTAACTTTCAAAAGTATCTGTATACCACAGAGAGAGGAAAGAGAGAGAGAGAGAGAGAGAGGGAGAGCAACATTCACTGCGAAAATGTAATGGACGACGCTTTCCTCTACTGTAAAAGGTGCAAGAAAAAATTGTCCTCGCAGAAACTACTCGTGCAGTCACAGTAGAGACCATAATGAAGCTAATGTGCAAAGCAAAAGGTGATTGCTTGGGAAAAAAAAAAGTCTGTGTCTTTGCTGATAAGGTTTTGCGATGGGAACAGGTGAAAACTAAAAGCAGGCAAACTAAAGACAGCACTCATGCAGGGTATATAGAAGGACTCTAAGTTGACGGTTAATGCGCAGCTACTACAAAGAACAGGATTTAAGCTACAACAAATAATGAGCAAAGTGATAGTGCCTAAAATAAGTTCCACTAAAATTTAATTAAATAGCTAATATTCAATATTTACTTTGACTTTGAGTACTATCCACATTGGATGCGTCCATATAAACCCACACTCAATTAACTATTTTTATCAGAGCTGCCCTCGTAATTAGTTGGGATTGCTTTTATTGACATTATCTAAAAGTTCGCTTCAACGTGTTAAGACTTCCGGAGTCAAACTAATACAGCCGTTTCCAAAGCCGATGCCCAGATTACAGCAGATAAGGCAACTGCTAAGCTGAAGATTAAATACACATTCACGGCCAAAACAAAAGTCTTCACTCCATTAATAGATTTTTCGCAAGAAATCGAATTATGACATGATTTCAATGCATCTCACTAAACTCTTAATGGATATGAAATATGTTAATTATGTTAATTAATTCAGTGAGACACAGCCACAGAGGTAGACAGACACAGACTAACAGCTGTCAATTACCCAATTTGTCTGCAAATGATTGCAAGGAAATGCGATAAGCAATCAATTTGCACACACGTCACTGCCGACAATGAGTCGCAGTGCAGCTAACGAGTTGAACTTGGCAAAATTGTGCGCCAGCATACGGTACGTATGAGTAATATGAACTTATCAGGCATTTACATAATTGAATTGTATTTCCACTGACACTGGCAATGGCACTGGCAGACAGCAATAGTAAATTTACGAAAACAATCGTAATAGGACAGTAACAAGCAGCTCTGTCTTGAGTAGAGAGAAGACACTCTGAACAACATGTAGCTAAGCTGCTTACGCGAGGCATTATGTGTACGTGTGTGTGGGAGTATGTGTGTGAGTTTATGTGTGCAATGTCATGAGGCACAATGCCATGGTAACTTGACTGTGCATAGTTGATGCTGCAACCGCAGGATGCTAATTAGAAATAAGTGAATAGAAAGCACTGAGTGTAACAACTTTTCCAGCTCACATATAACACACACACACACACACACACACAACAAACTTCTGCTTTTAAGAATTTCTTTTCTCAATAAATATATATCTTTTTATTTTGTGGCAAGACTTTGTCTTGTTATACTAGTAAGAGCTCAAGGCTAATTTGTTGTCGAACAATTTAACAGTATATTGACCTAATTGTGTGCACTTCTTCACCCACACATTTACTCACTCTCGCTGTCTCTCTCTCTCTCTCTCTCTCTCTCTCTCTCTCTCTCTCTCTCTCTCTCTCTTTCGTTTCCGTTTTGCCAAAGTTGGGTTCAATTTGGTAACCTAAGCCAATGCCATTTTAGAACTTAAAGCAGCAACAGCAGCAGAAAAAGCAAAATAAATGCTGACTAAGACTTCTTAGTTGACTTTGTCGCTTGCTCTGAGTCTCTTTGATTTGGGTTGCATTTGCTGGCCAATTCTCAGCTTGGCATTGAGCATTCAGCTCAACACGTGCCACTTCTCTCTTTGATTATTTTTTATATTTTTTTCTGCCTTTCCTTTCCCTCTTTTCTCTACATCTCAAATTGTATTTAAAATCAACACGTTTTGAAACAAGAGGCGTTGATGTACGTTAAAAGACAAACAAAACATTTGACATTAAGTATGTGAGATTTGCATTTTATATACGCTAACCAAAGGGGGTATATTGACATTCTTATGTGGTACGTAAATGTATAGAAAGTAGTTGGTCTATTGAAAATTAAAAGCAAAATATTAAATGAAATGAATTAATTTAATTTTGTTGGATGGGCAAAAATAATTATATCATATAATATTACTCATTATAATTGATGTATTGTTATATTATTTTAGCTATTTATTTATTTATTTGTTTTAATATATTTATTTATTTTATTTTATTAATTTATTTTTTTTATGATTAAGATATATTTTTTTATATTTACTGTATTTATTAATATCATATTTTCCAGTTTATAATAAATTGTTAAAAATTATTTATTTCAGTTAACGAATATTTAAAAATTCATAATATTGCTCAGTACAAAAAAAAAAAAAAAAAAAAAAAAATTATATAAAAATAAAAAACAAAATTCTAAATTTAAATATTTTATTTTTTATAATATTCTAAATTTAAATATTTTAGACATTTTATAGTATGCTTTTTATTATTACAAAATGTTTTTATTTATTTATATTTTTATTTTTATATTTTTTATTTAAATTTTTTTAAATATATATGTCTTAAAATTTTTTTTTATACAAAATAAAAACCTCACCTTTACTTCGTTATATACATATAAAACAGTATCTCATTTACTGCATCTCTGCCTCTTATTTAACGAACTGTGATGAACTTCGAACTGCTTTATAAAAGTAGTACATTAACACAGAACTATATTGAATATGTATTTATTTGCAAGCGT